GAATAAATAAATACGTGGCTGAAGTGCGTTCATGTCTGTGCTCACCCAAAGTTATGCAACACTCACAGAAAACGCCGATAGTGTGAGCCAAAGCACTCCATAATAATAATAATAATAATAATAATAATAATAAATAATAAATGTAATTTGTAATGCACTTTACATTTACAAAAAATCTCAAAGTGCTACAGTATACAGTAAAAAAAGAGCAGCAACAATAAAAAAAGCAATAGAATGACAGTCACAGATTGGCATAAAAAAAAAGAATTAAAAAAATAAAAAATATAGAGTTGCAATGTAAGAGGCAAGGTAGTAAAAGCATAAAGCATAGAGGAAAACTAACCAAAGGCTTTATTAAAAAGGTAGGTCTTTGAAGAGGTTGTTCACACTGCTAGATGTTTCTCCTCCAAAGCTGCTCTCTGCCTCCATCATTGTTTACTTTACTCTTGAAGCACGTAGGAAGACCCGAGCATGAATCCGAGCGCTTTACTCGCCTATCAGGGGCAGAGAGGTAAGGTGATTTGATTCGCCACGACTCCAGAAATGATTGAAAAACTACAGAATGTCACAAAATTACGTTTCCTCGCTGCTGGCTTGAAGGGTAGAAATGCGCAGCCGCGCTCCCAGCTGACAGGAAGTCAAACCACTGTTGTAGTTCTTTTGTGTTGCTAGCGCGGTCAAGAGTGTTGGCTCTCACTGAGAGATGACTACAAAAATGGACGCACCTGTTCATCTGGTTGTTAAACACGGCTGAAAATGATCATCTTTTAATGTTGTTCCCGCTCCTGCCCACTCCCGTTGCTTTTTTTCCCGTCCCGTCCCGATCAAGGGATTAATTAAAAAAATGACTCCCATCCCGTGGGATTCCCGCGGGAATCACGTGACCCACGGGAATTCCCGAAAAATGTCATCCTCTACAGGGAAGGTCCCGGAGCAGATGAAACAGGTGCCGGAGCGGCTGAAATAGGTCCCGGATCCGATCAAAAGAGGTCCCGGATCGCGCTCCGACTTGCTCCGGCACAAATTAAGCACTGCTTACAATGATCCCCTCACGTGTGTAACCCAGGTAACCCGCAACGGTGGGAGACGCTGGACACGAAGAGGGCACGTAAAGCGGCGTCATGTCGCAAAATCGAAAGAGAAATGCGAGCCTACATGTCAACGCATCCTTTTCTTTGTAAGAAAATATTGTTTTCTTCCCGTTCGACACCAAATACACTTACTGAATGTGCAATTATTGTTGTTGTTACTATGAATCATCTGATGGCACAAGCCCTATGGATAAAATACAGCCTATCGCCCGAAACGATAAAAATGGCACGATAGACATTTTCTATCGTGCCCACGATATCTATCGTCCTATCGCCCAGCACTATACACACATATAGATATTCTCCCCGTACCTGCACCCCTCCCTCAGTGGCCCCGATCACATGGGTAGTTTTCCTCAATCTGATTAAAATCAATCGGATTAAGTGAATCTGATTCCATCTGTATACATGAACTTCAAGTAAAGAGATCCACGTTCAGTCCGCGTTTTCATGGCCCCAGCTGAATCCAGTTAACACTCCACCGTCCAGTTTTTCTGTTTGTTCACCATGTTTGTTTTTGTTTGGGCGCGCTCTGCGTACATCACTACGTGCCTGTTACGTACTAGCAAGCGCCTGCACAGACCGAACAAGCCTCTCTGTAAACACAATCCGCTCCACTCAGCCGTATATATGGAGCATGGAGCGGATTATCAATTGGTGTAGACTACCTATTACAATCCGACCCGAAATACAATCAGATTTGGGTGAATCAGATTGGCTAAGATGTTTACATGAGACATTTTGAATCTGATTGACCTTTCAATCTGATTGTAGATTTTTGGACCCGTGTAAACGGGGCCACTGAGAAAAGTGAGCAACACTGTGTTCACTGACGTGAGAGTGAAAAACAGCCTACTGTCTGTGCAGGATGCTGGACAGAAGCTTACCTCAGACTGCATGTAAGTGATATTGATATCAAATTATTTATTTATATTTTGTTATGGATGTTAAATGACATCTGTAGATACAGGCTTTATTTTTCCCATCATAAACATGGCCTAAATTCACTGCGTAATTGCGCCAAATTGTGAATTGCATACTATATGTAGACTTGCATGTACAAATCACCAGCAGTAAATGTTGTGCTAGTATTATTCCTGGACTACAAAAAGCAAGAGAGTTAAAGGCCTTTAATTTGAGTTAGGTAAAACGTTTGATGGGACAGTGAGGGCCAAGAGATGTGGTGACAATCACTGCACGGAGGGTGCCC